ATATCATATGTTTGCACGTATAGGAGGATTAGGAGGAACTTGATGGAGGAACAAGGGGGAGAAGAAGGGCGGAAATGGTGGGGGAAAGGGAGAGAGGCAAACCATGAGAGACTCTTGAATGCCGACAAAAACTGAGGACTGATGGATGTGGGGGGGAGGGAGGGATGGGCATGGAGGAGGACACTTGTGGGGATAAGCACTGAGTGTTATGTGGAAACTAATTTGACAATAAACTATTTGTAAAAAAAAAAAAAAAGTACTATTTAAAAAAAAAAGAAAATATTTTGAACTGAATGATAATAAAAATGCAATATCATAATGTGTGGAATACAGCTAAAATTTAAAGAAAAATTGTGGCTTTAAATGCTTAGGTTAAAAATGAAGAAAGTTCTAAAGTCACCAACTTAGGCTAGGGAAAGAAAAAGAGCAAAGTAACTAGAAAGAATGAAGTAATAAATATTAAATCAGAAATCAATAAAATACTCATAAAGCAAGTTTTGCAAGGATGATCAATTAAATATGCCAAAACTAATTGTATTGGCAACAAGCAATCTGAAAATGAATAAAATACTTGGGAATAAATTTAACAAAAGAAGTACAGGTTCTGTCCATTGGAAAACACAAAACATTGCTGTGAAGTTCAGGGATATCTAAATAAATGGAGAGATCTACCATGTTCATGGATTAGAAGACAATACCCTTAAGATCAGTAGTGGGCTGACTTATGTAGTGGACCACAAAGTAAATATTTTAGGCTTTAGAGACTACTAAATATGTAGTCTCTGTTACAACTACACCACTCTGCTGTTGTAGTGTAAAAACAGCCATAGATAACGTGCCATTGAATGGGTAGTGCTATGTAAACCTTATTTATAAAAACAGGTAGTGAGCTGGATTTGGCTTGTGGACTATTCTTTGCTGACCTCTCATTAAAATCACAGTTGCTCCAGATTGCTTTATAGATTCAGTGTGATTCCTATGAAAATTCCAATAGATGTTTTTAATAGAAATTGCAAAATTATCCTAACATTTTCTCTGACATATATATTATATGCACAGTTACTAGAATAGCCAAAAAAAAAAAAAAAGGATTTACATTATTTGATTTCAAAACTTAGTATAAAGCTATAATAATCAAGAGAGTGTGATATTGGTATAAGGGTAGACTTACAGACACATGGAATAAGAGCTAAAACTATAAAACCTCTTGAAGAAAACACAGGAGAGAAAATCTTTATGACCTTGGATTAGGCAAAGATTTTTTACATACAACACCAAAAGTGACTGAAATCAGATTAGTCATTTCCTAGGTTTGAGATGTGGAGGAGAGGATAAGGACTACAATAATATACCTGGGATTTTTGTGGGAAATTATTGAAAAGTTTGTTATCTTGATTGTGTTGGTGGTTTCCTGGGTGTATAGAACTGTCAAGAGTCATGAAATCATGCACTCTAAATAGATCTAGTTTATTTTTTCATACAAATAATAAAATCTCAAAATTTATTAAAAAGAAGAGAAAAACTTAATGTAAAATTAAGTAGCTGATTAGAAACAAAGAGAATTAGTTATCTAGAATACAGATCTGAAGTAATTGCTCAGAGTACAGAGCAGAGAAACAAGGAAGATGGGAAAAATGATAGAGAAGTTTTATGTTTATGAATGATAAAAGGAGAAGATCCAATATTTATCAAGTGGGAGTTCAAGAAGATAACAGAGAAAATGGAAGAAAGGCACTATTCAAATAGGTAATGGTTGAGAGTTCTCCAGAATTGATGAAAGTCACACACTCTTAGATTAAAATGTACCAGCAAACAGTATGCAAGACAATGAAAAAGAAACCTTTACTTAGATGTGTTGTAGTCCAGCTATTAAATTGTAAGGCAAAGAGACTATCACAAAATGAGTCAGAGAGAAAAGACAAACTACATATCTGGTGTAATAAAATTAGAATAGAAAAAAGATAAAATTAAACATCTATTTATGATAAAAGCTCTTAGCTGAACTGGATTTGAAGGGAATTTATATAATTTGATAAATGCTACCTGATAAGTCTGATAAAGCTACCCCAAACAAAAACATAACAAAAAGCAAACCTTTGATCATTCTCTTCAAGTTCAAGAATGAGACAAGGATGTCCACCGCCACTAGTTGCTGGTTCATTAAGACAAGAAGGAAAAATAAAAGATACAAAGATTGAAATGAAAGAAGCAAGACTGTCACTGTTGCTTATGTGCTTGTCTACCCAGGAAACAAAGAATCTTGAGATTTTAAGCAGTTCTCTACACTATCCACAATTTTGAAAAACATCCAACTAAAATGCAACAGAACTATAAGGTTTCTAGGAATATATCGAAGAAAAGATAGACAAGGCTTTTACTGAGAGAATTATACAACTTTATTGAAAAAAGTAAGCTTTAAAAAGGTGAGAGACACTATGCTCATGGACAGGGAGATTGAATATTTTAAAGATGTAATTGTCTTTAAGTGAATCTGTAAAATCAATGTAATCTTATTTAAACCACAGTGGGTTTTTATATGAAATTAGATAAAAGTTGCATGGAGCAGCTCAGGTACTCTGGAAAAACAAAAAAGAGGAAGGAGGAGACTTAGCCTACTAAATATCAAGTTTACTCTAAAAGCTATGGGACTTTCTACAATAACCAGTGGGACAGAATGGAGACCCCTCTATTTTTGGAAACTTAATATATGCTGGAAGTGGCATTGTAGGTCAGTGGATGATCATACCATTCTCCAGAGTAGGAAATCAGTAAGTAATGTCTCATAGTGAAATTCAAGAAGTAACAGTATAATCACGTTATTTAGAAATTGGAGGTAAATTTTATTTGGAGAAATAAAAAGGTATAAGAGTTGAAAATGGTTACCTCTAGGGAAAGGGAATTATGAGATAGAAGTGAGCAGGAAACAGGTAAATTCCCTTTTTTTAAAAAAAGTAATGAATCTTTTTCCCCTATGACCCAGCAATAGCACTGCTAGGAATTTACCTAAGGGATACAGGAGTGCTGATGCATAGGGCCACATGTACCCCAATGTTCACAGCAGCACTCTCAACAATAGCCAAATCATGGAAAGAACCTAAGTGTCCCTCAGCTGATGAATGGATCAAGAAGATGTGGTATATTTATACAATGGAAAACTACATGGCAATGAGAAAGAATGACATCTGGCCATGTGTAGCAACATGGATAGAACGAGAGGGTGTTATGCTGAGCAAAATAAGTCAGGCAGAGAAGGACAAATACCATGTTTGCACATATAGGTGGAATAGGAGGAAGTTAACGGAGGCCGATGCAGGAGAAGAAGGGGAAAAATAGTTGGGGAGGGGGAGGGAGGCAAACCATGAGAGACTCTTGAATGCTGAGAACAAACTGAGGGCTGATAGGGGTGCAGGAGAGGGGAAAGGGGGTGATGGCCATGGAGGAGGGCACTTGTTGGGGTGAGCACTGGGTGTTAGGTGTAAGCCAACTTGACAATAAACTATTTAAGGAAGAAAAAAATAAAAAAATAAAAAATAAAAGCAATGAATCTTTTAGAAATTTAAAATTGGTAGAGAGTTAAACAATATATTATGTCTTGTAAAGGGAGTTTTAAAAACATTTTCTTTTCCTATAGTATGTTGAAAATACTTCGATTTTATCCTTCTGGTATGCAACTCATGACCAGTATGTTAGGCCAAATCTGATTTATTGGAATGTATCAAAATTTGCATATGCATAATTTTGTTTTTTAACTATAAAAAGTTTTTTTTATAGTCTTCAAATGGTTTTTATTTTTGATGTTTAAAATAAGTTGTCATTTGATAATTTTATATTGTATACTTTTAGTCCTCAGTATATTGAGTTAGAAATTATTTCATTGATTCCTAAGTATAATTTTTTTCTATTAAGTTGTTATTGTTTTAATAAAGATATTACCAGTCTTTCTATATTTTTAAATAACAGAAAGGAACAAGGGATTTAATATAGGAAGTAGCTCTATTGTTATCGGTTAAACATTATGTGGAATATTACAGTCTTCCTGTTGCTATACTTAAGAATACCAAAAATAAAGTAAATGCTACTCAAAAAAGGATGAATGGGATGATGTTGGCCTTGATAATCACAAATATACATAATATATTTAACTTGGAGAATAGGCAAATAAGGGAGAAACAGCTGTCTTTCACATATTTAATAGGATGCCATGTGAAATAGGGAACCAGCACTGAAACCATGGTGAAAACAATAGAGGAAGTTACAGAGCCACATTTGCTCAATATAAGGAAGCACTTTCTAGGAATGGAGGATACCTAGCAATGCAGAAAACTGACTCTAAAGAATAGAACTCCTTTAAGTATGGATTAGGTATCCTTATATTAAATGCCCAAGAGATGGCTTCTTCATTGTATGAAAATTGATCTCTAAGGTCCTTTAAGTTTTTCAGATTATTTTGTAACATTGGGATACTTGCTTAGCTTTGAAGTATTTTTTGTTTTTCAGACCAGTGAATGGAGGTTAAGCTATGTCAATAAGGAATTTGCTGTCTGTCCTTCTTACCCGCCAATTGTCATAGTGCCCAAATCCATTGATGATGAAGCTCTTCGGAAGGTAGCTACATTTCGGCATGGAGGACGCTTCCCAGTACTTAGCTATTACCATAAAAAAAATGGAATGGTAAGTGTACGGTACTGCTGCTTCATCTGCTGCAAGGGTTGCTTTGCAGATCTTTCCTTAGAAATGTGCCACTTTCTGTGTACTTGTTCATTGATGTGATTAGTCTCCCTTGCTAAAACTTCCTCCTTTTAAACTTTAGGGGAATCAGGAATAGAGTGTTTTCTGTGATTAGGATATGACTTTGAATTCTTTTCATGATGCTGCTCAAAATTAGAAAGCCCAGATAGATTTTTTTTTTTAATTTTTTAAATGTTTTTATTTATTTTTGAGAGAGAGAGATAGCATGAGCGGGGGGCGGTCAGAGAGAGAGGGAGTCACAGAATCTGAAGACAGGCTCCAGGCTCTGAGCTAGCTGTCAGCACAGAGCCTGATGCGGGGCTCGAACCCACGAACTGTGAGATCATGACCTGAGTCGAAGTCAGACACTTAACCAACTGAGCCACCCAGGCATCCCAGATAGGTTTATCTTAAGGACTCAGTACTAAGGGAACTGATGTTCATTTGATACTTAAAATAACCCTGTTAGGTGGAAAAATAAATTTCTCTGACCAGAATAATGGTAGAATTCTTTTTTAAATTATTTTTACCAAATTTCCCTTAAAAGGTAAATTGAGCATTTTTATTTTCAAAAAGGAGAAGAGTGACTTGTTATTAGTTACAATTTAAGTAAACACAGGAGTCAGTAGTTGAATAGTGCTTGCTGTATGTATGTTTCCTAAATATTTTCTAAATCTGTTTCTGTCCTCTTATTTTCTCTCAGTCAGTAAACTCAGCTTCTCATTTTGAAATCACCAATAAAGTGGGGCGCCTAGGTGGCTCAGTTGGTTAAGTGTCTGACTTCAGCTTAGGTCATGATCTCATGGTTCGTGGGTTTGAGCCCTGCGTCAGGCTCTGTGCTGACAGCCAGCTCAGAGCCTGGATCCTGTTTCAGATTCTGTGTCTCCCTCTCTCTCTGACCGTCCCCTGCTCACACTGTTTCTCTCTCTCTCTCAGAAATAAATTTTTAAAAAACCATTAAAAAAATGAAATCACCAGTAAAGTAGTAGATAAGTTATAGTCATATTCCATTTGCCCTTTTTATCCCTGGAGAATAAGTCAAGCATGGATATTTGGGTAAAAAGATTTCCAAAATATTTGCTACTTTGGCATCAGGTCGTCTATCCCATTTGCATAGTAGTATTTCTGTTTGTTAGAGTTCATTACAGAGCATTTAAAAATGGATATTAATTTTATCCATAATTAATAAATGTGTGTCCATTTACATGGTTAGCACAGCCTGGGAGTTAGCCATTGTCATTCTCAGGATGACCTTTCTTGATCATGTTAAATTTCAAGGTAGTTAAGAATAGCATATATTATGGGGAGAAATTGAAATAACTCTAAACCATTCACCAAGGAAGAGATCTGTATGCTATTGATTTCTCGAGAAAAGTTTCAAAATCAAACCTTTCAAAATATATAGTTGATGGTCTTTGGAAATAAGTTTCTAGGTCCTGAAATACTGAAAAGGATGAAAGAGGAGGGTAACAGGAGAATAAATAATAGGCAGCTTTCAAGGTATTAAAAATGATTCCCCAAACAGGAAGAATAGTACATAAACTTTATTTTACCATTGATGGCTTTTCTCTTTATAATTTTTTTCTTTTTCTTTTTATTTTAGAGAGAGAGAAAGCATGAGCAGGGGAGATGGGCGGGGGGTCGGGCGCGTAGAAAGGCGGGGGGTGGGGTGGGGAATGAATCCCAAGCAGGCTCCACACTCAGTGCAGAGCCTGTTGCAGGGCTTAATTCCACGACCCTGGGATCATGACCTGAGCCAAAATCAAGAGTTGGTCGCCCAATCTGCTGTGCCACCCACCGTCTTTTTTTTTTTTTTTTTTTTTTTTTAATTTTAGAGAGAGAGCACACGTGAGCTGGAGAGAGGGACAGAGGAGGAGGAGGGAAAGAATCCCAAGTAGGCTCCATGCTCAGCGCAGAGCCTGACATGGGGCTTGATCCTATGTTTCTGGGACCATGACCTGAGCCAAAATCAAGAGCTGGGTGCTCAACTGATTGAGCTTTCCAGGCACCCCATCTCTCTCTTTATAATTCTTGGTTAAACCTTCCAACCCTCTTTATGTAGTCGAAGCAAAAATTTACTGGCACATAGGCAATTATTATTTCTATTACAGGGCCATGTCCAGTAAACAATTTACTGACTAAATGAATTGTAATATTTGATCTCTTTAGCAATTGTAATTTATTATGTGGAGGTATTTTGAGATAGTAGGAGGAAAAATTGTGTTAAATGCAAGGCTTACTTTTGTTTTACAGTTATTAACTATTGCAAATATGTGGAAATATTTCTTTGTTTTACAGTCATATTCATCTTTAAAGTGCCACACAGTTGTTTTTGAGATACTCTCAATCTAGCTAATTCATTTCTGTTTTTAGAATCTTTCAAGGCAGGTACTCTTAACAGGTACTCTTAAATTTTAAACCACATTGTGCTTCTAGGTAATCATGCGAAGTGGTCAGCCACTCACTGGCACAAATGGGAGAAGATGCAAAGAAGATGAAAAGCTGATAAATGCTACCCTCAGGGCAGGGAAACGTGGCTACATCATTGACACACGATCTTTAAATGTAGCTCAGCAAGCTAGAGCCAAAGGCGGCGGCTTTGAACAGGAAGCTCATTATCCCCAGTGGAGGCGGATTCATAAGTCCATTGAGAGGTAACAGACTCTGGAGACAGTAGTGGACTCTTAAGCGAATTAGAATGGGTGAGCCCTTAGCTGCAAAAATCACAAGTTCTCAGACGAAGCTACACATTAACTTAGAGTCAGAAATTGGCTGGATCTCCTGTCGTGTTTTATAAGATAAGCAGGAAGCTTACCTTGGATGGCCACAGTTAACTTCCAGTCTGATATAGCATGCTTTCTCTTAAGTTATCTCTGAATTTTCATCTCCACGAGGTCAGAGGTCTCCTCCTTGTAGATCAGTGGTCATCAAACTTACTGAACAGATATGCCACAGATAAGTATATTTTTCTAAAAAGACTAGAGACTTACTTTCCTCCACACCCATCTATTCTCACACCCTGTTTCTTCCACCTACACCTTGTTTATGCTCACAAGTAGAGGTTTATAGGGACTTCTGGATGGGTGCGTGGGAGTTGGAGCTAATAAAACAGTGGGGTCTGAGCTGGCCTGGGCATCCATGCTACAGGTACCAGGTATCTAGTGTTGGATCTGTGGGAATAGGATTGCAGATGCCAGTGGTGACTTGTCACACAAGGTTTGTGACTTGTCACAAAATGCGGTGTTTGGCCTGCTTCTCAGATAATTCAGCTCTGTGAACTGGGTTTAATCTGTTCAGGTGGGGAATGGTTTACCATGACAGGCATTTTAAGCATCTTTGCTGCCATGTTTACATATTAATTTTACAGTGTTTAATCATCACATTATTGTATAGTAAGGTAAATATTTTTATGCCATTTTGAGCTACTTTTCTTCTTAGATATATTGGAGGTTGAGGCTTTGGTTAGTTTTTGTCTTCATCAGTATGTTTTCTATTTTCTTTTTACTTCTTCTTGTTTTTTAAAGGTATCACATTCTTCAGGAGAGCTTAATCAAACTTGTGGAAGCTTGTAATGACCAAACACATAACATGGACCGATGGCTCAGTAAATTGGAGGCTTCTAACTGGCTGACTCACATCAAAGAGATTCTTACAACCGCCTGTCTAGCGGCTCAGTGTATCGACAGGTAGAGTATATTTCAGTGTTCCAGAATGGAACACGCAGTGCTAACTAGACTTTGCTTATATCCAGACATGTGTTTATATATTATGTTAAAAGTTTTTGTCTAGTCTCTATTTTATGTTCAGATCATTGCATAAATTACTATATAAGGTGGTCAGTGCCATTCAGTTATCAATGAAGTGTGTGCATAGAGTCTGGCATTTAATTGGTGATTAATGTTTGTTGGATGAATATGAACCACAGGCACACATCTTGAAGCACACAAAGCTTTTAAGTACTAAAGGAACTCTTCTTTTCTATAAAATCCTTGAATTGTGAATCTACCTATTTTCTTTTGCTTATACTGTGAACAAGTTTTCTTATTCTCAGAGCAGGGGGCTCACTTCCTTGCTTTTGAAATATCAATGAAAGGAAACATGTAATTTTGTTACACAGTAAAACCATTCTTTCAAATCTCTCAGATATCTTATTATAAACTACTTGATATGTGCAATTGTAACCGGATCTCAAGTTGAGAAAACCCGATGGCAGTGACATAAAGTATATGAAGTGATTTTAGTTTATTCACTTAGCTGAAGGTTGCTAATCCTTGAGGCTTGAGGCAGAAGACTTGAACAGAGAACTGATATAAATTGTCGCAGAAGCTTAGAATGCCCTTTTTAAGAAGGAGATTCTTTTGTGACAATAGGTAGGTGTGAGTATTGGTACCACATAGTTGGATGACACTTTTCCTTGAAACTGTAACTTGTTTTATCGATGCTTCCAAATTAGGGAAATAGACGTATGTAATTTTTTTGTGGTTAGTGAGAAATTGGTAATAATATGGGTTGCTTAAGATCATGTGGTGAATTAGGGAAAAAATCAGGAATGGGTAGAGATTCTTGGTATCCAGATTCTTGGGCTGTCATTTGTTTTTTGTTTTAGGTGAAGTTCATTTATCTAATACAATATGGGAGTTAAAGAAGTTCTACGACAGACAAATCAATACTGCAGAATGATGAGATGTTGATATTAAGGGTCCTGATTCTTTTTAACCCAACTTAAAAAGATTTCCCTATACATGATGAGGACAGAGGCATCTGTTTTCTTACAAAACATAAATTGTAATAAAGGTTTCTCACTGTGTTGTCCGAGTTTGCAGCCATAATAACGGGATGCTACAGGTTAAGGGAACCCTAGATACAGATAAGGGAACCCTAGGTGCAGACCAGTATTTGCTATCTCCACCTTGCTTAGAGTCAGCTGACCACCTTAAATAGGGACTTCCACATTCTTAAGAAGAGTTGAAGGTTTTGGTTTATCTTGCCATGTTTGAGTTCCCTTTTCTGATATATATTAGGCTTGTTATTTATATATACCTCCATAAAAATCTGCCCTTGTAATTAACTGCTCAAAATGTAAAAATAGACCTTAACTTAATCGAATTAAGTTTAAAATATACCATGGATAAATAAGATCTATGGATTCAGTATATACATCAGAAGCCTTAAACTATTTACTCATACCCTTCTACCTATTCATGAAATTTCATCCTAAGAATGAGGTTGTTATCCTAACCAGGGAGCCTTATTTTCAAATTAAGAACTCTCAAATAATTCAGTAAAAGACAAAAAGCTAAATATGTCATCTACAGTGTAACAAAAATTGACAATAACCTAAATGTCTAACTCTTGGACAGTTCAGTACATTGTAGTTGATCACCTAATAGAATATTATATAACCATTAATACAGTACTTCTAAAGGTAATATAGAAACATGAGAAAATGTTTATAATAAAAGTGGACATAGTAAGATATTACCTTTTGTTATAGCTACATAAAGTATATATGTATGTGGGAAAAGAATTGATAGTAACCAAACTGGAGACTCTTCTGGGAAATTTTATTCACTCTCATTTCAATGTAAGAGGTAGAAGAAGGGGGAGGGATGGGGCGCCTGGGTGGCTTAGTCGGTTAAGCTTCCGACTTTCGCTTAGGTCATGATCTCGCAGTTCGTGGGTTCGAGCCCCGCGTCGGGCTCTGTGCTGACTGCCAGCTCAGAGCCTGGAGCCTGTTTCAGTCTGTGACTCGCTCTCTCTCTGACCCTCCCCTGCTCACGCTGTCTCTCTCTCTCTCCTAGAAATAAATAAAACATTTAAAAAAAAAAAAAGAAGAAGAAGGGGGAGGGGGGAAATTTAGTTAGTTTTTGGTGTTTTCTTCCATGCTCTTTAGAATATTGGGCCCCAGACTTCTCCTAAATATCGTGGTAAAATAGTATCATTGCCACTGACTTTCTAGATTGCCAGTTTTATGTTTTGTTTTATGTTTCTTCTTTTCATGTTTCTAAAAGTGTGGTTTGGGACTCGTTTCCTAGATTCATCACATTACAGTTTATGAAAGGCATCCTTACAGTCAGCTGATGGTGGAAAGATAGAATCAAGGTCAGAGAGATTACAGAAAAATTAAGAGCATGTTTCTAGGTGTGATGAGAAAAGGCTTTAATTAACTTAATAGGCAGAAGAAGTGAGTCTTTACTGTGCATGACAAGGACTACTTTTGGATTTTGTAATGGGAGAAAAAATTCAGCTGAAAAGTTCTGTGAAATTTGTTGTAAGTTAAAGAGGTTCTTGCCATGTGAAATTTGGAACTCATAGTTTTATTTATTTTTTCCCAAGAGAAGCTCTCTTCATTTGCCTAATTGAGACTCTAAACCCTGCTGGACAGAGCGGAATGCATGAGTCTGAAATACTGAACTCAAATGTTTATTATTGGGCGCCTGGGCTGCTCAGTTGGTTAAGCGTCCAACGTCGGCTCAGGCTATGATCTCACGTTTAGTGGATTTGAGCCCCACGTCGGGCTCTGTGCTGACAGCTAGCTCAGAGCCTATGGCTTGTCTTCACATTCTGTGACTCCCTCTCTCTCTCTGACCCTCCCCTGCTCACGCTGTCTCTGTCTCTCTCTCAAAAGTAAATAAAACATTAAAAATTTTTTTTCAAAAATAAATAAGTGTTTATTATTAACAGAGTGGATTGACCATGTTGGGAGTATCCCATTTGTACTCTGGATTTTCCTATCAGGGAAGGGGCATCCATATTGATTCATGGAACAGAAGGAACTGATTCCACGCTTCAGGTTACCTCCCTGGCCCAGATCATTTTGGAACCGAGAAGCAGGACCATCCGTGGTTTTGAGGCCCTGATAGAAAGAGAGTGGCTACAGGTGAGAAAAGCTGTGTGTGCACAGGAACTGCTAATAATTGGTGTGATCCTAGTTGTAGGATGGATATAATATATGATGTTTTGTTGATTAAAATGTTTAAATTATATGTTTAATTTTCTGGAAGCAGTTAATCTGTCTTCTTCTCAGTAAATGTTTATAGTCTTTATTGCCTTTCAGTTTTTGTACCTGTCTTTGCTTATATTGTCCATTTGGCTCTTTATTCCCTTAACAAGCTCTTACTAGTTGTACTTTGTTACCTACAAGGGAATTAATAACAAAGAATGTAAAACATTGTCTGTCTTGCAGAGCTTAACTTTGCTAGAGATAAAAAACATAAACAAGGCAGGAAAGGGATGCAGGGACTTGTAATTATAAGACGTGTGCTTTAGTAATTTCCGCCTTTTGCTTGTCTGGTTCCCCCTTATCCTCTAGTCCAACCGGGTATAATCCTTCTCATGCTTTAAGATACAGCTAAATGTCGCTGTTGTCCTAAACTGAAGTCTTTGGGACTGTTCTTCACAGATAAAATCGATCCAGTGTCTTCATGATTGGTTTCCTAAATGAGACCCAAATAAAGTGATTCCTTTGAGGTCAGGGAACCATGCCCAATTTCTCTATTATTCCTAGGACACAACGCAGTGCTATCATATAATGCTGAATGACAACTGAAAGAGAGTTCTCATGAAGTAGATTGGAATCCTCCAAGTCAGAGATTGACTGTATATATAAGTGTATATACACCGTGTAATTTAGCAAATAATTAAAGTGATTGAGAACAGATGTTTAGATATATCTTGAAAGTGGAAGTATCTCTGGAGACTAATCTTTTCTGTCCCTTCTAGTTAAAATTCAGATTTGTTATGTGTTAATGCTGTTATGTATACCTTGTCTGCCTTACCTGACAACTGACCTATCTCTGTTCAAATCAGACCATCCCAGATACTTGGCAAAAATCTATTCAGCCACATTCCTCATGATGCATAGCAAACAAATATATAAGTGTGATTTACCTACTTATATATTACCAGTTTAATGAGTATCAAAATACCATTAGCCACTGGAAAATGCCAATGTCATTATCTTTGTCCAGTAAAGTGGTATAAGGATCAAAGACAAAGCAGGTCTGTGAAATACCTAGAAGGGTGTCCTTTGGAATAAGGTCAGTACTCAGGTTCTGGGTGGGCCAGAGAGCCAAATGATTCTTAAATTTCTTTTTGTCAGGAGATGTCAGACTCTTCCAGTTCTTTTTGAGAGAAGAGGGAAACTATGGACAATTTTTATCTCTAATATAAAAGTATTCATAAACATCTCTTCACGACAGTAACTTTTTTACCATGTGTAATTAAAAATTAAATATCAGGAGTGACCTTGGAGAGTTTGTCCATGAGAGCCCCATATTTATTTCCATTTAGTGGTGAGGCTTACATAGCTTACAACAATCTGCAGTGGTTTGGACAGATAAAAAGTGATAGCCTTCTTTTTTTTTGTACCTTATATTCTTTGACTTTGCTACAAATTAGAGACCTAGAAAATTTTATTTTATGAAGTTCACCAAGGATTATTGCTGTTCTTATGCCTTAACTGCACGGCCTTGTTAAATGTTTGGAAGTTGTATTGTTTGCCTTAGATACCAAAAATTCTTTTAAGCCAAGAAATCATTAATGTAAACAGCAGCCCTCCAAATTATATGATGTTCTGTTTAATAAGTTTTGTTGCAGCTGTGTGAAATATGTTAATAGGATGTGCTGTAAAGTGATCTCAGTAGTCTATGACTCTCACCTTTGCATCTTCTGTCTTAGGCTGGTCACCCATTCCAGCAGCGCTGTGCACAGTCAGCCTACTGTAATAGTAAGCAGAAGTGGGAGTCACCTGTATTTCTTCTATTCTTGGACTGTGTGTGGCAGATACTTCGTCAGTTTCCTTGTTCTTTTGAATTTAATGAGAATTTCCTCATCATGCTCTTTGAGCATGCATATGCCTCACAGTTTGGAACATTTCTGGGCAACAATGAAAGTGAAAGGTGGGTACACTGCTTACATGGGATGGGGGCCGTTTTGTTTGTAGTTATTTTGGTCACCTAAAAGAGACCCGGAGTTGGTTCTATATTAATGTTATTTATAAGATGGTAGAGGTATAAATTTGTATAAGTTAAATTATATAACGTGTGTTCTTATTATGAGCCTATCACATGCTAGGTGGAACATGTCCTAGATTTTGTTCTGTTAGATTAAAGTTAGTCTATATACTGATTTAAAAGCTTTGAGTAAATATGGCAGTCATTTTAAATGTTAATTTCCTTATCTAAGATCATGGTAACCTTATATCTGGAAGAGACCTTAACATATAATCCAACTCCACCCTCCATCCAATTTTATAGATTAGGAGGGTAATATCCGGAAAAGTTAAATGACTTGTCCAGGGACACGCAGCCAGTTGGTCACCAGTAGTAGGGCTAGGATACCATTCTGCTCCTGCTCCAGACTTTCTCTGTTACACCTGGAAACTGCCTCTTAGGCCCAGGGCGACAGTCTCACTTCACAGCCTACGCAGTCAAGTTCATAGGTTTGTTTGGAAGATTCATATCAGAATGATCTTTAAAGGTGCTCAACTGGTAATCTCAGTTGGGTACAATCAAAAGGCATCCTCTTCTCTTTTTTCTGTTGTCTTGCTGGCTAAAAAGACAGTTTTGTTGATCTTTTCAGAGAACCAACTTTTGGTTTCATTGATGCTCTCTATTGTCTCTTTATTTTCTATTTTATCTGTCTACTCTCTCCTGTTATTTTTATCTTCTTTCTGCTAGCACTGGTTTAGTCTCCCCTTATTTTTCTAGTTCCTTAAGGTATAAAGTTATTGATTTATGGGGCGCCTGGGTGGCTTAGTCGGTTAAGCGTCCGACTTTCGCTTAGGTCATGATCTCGTGGTTCGTGGGTTCGAGCCCCGCGTCAGGCTCTGTGCTGACTGCCGGCTCAGAGCCTGGAGCCTGTTTCAATCTGTGACTCCCTCTCTCCCTGACCCTCCCCTGCTCACGCTGTCTCTCTCTCTCTCTCCTAGAAATAAATAAAACATTAAAAAAAATAATTAAAAAAAATAAATAAATAAAAGTTTTTGGGGCACCTGGATTCCCCAACTCCAATCAGTTAAGCCTCCAACTTCATCTCAGGTCATGATCTTGCAGTTTGTGGGTTTGAGCCCCACGTCAGGCTCAGTACTGACAGCTCAGAGCCTGGAGATTGCTTCGGATCCTGTGTGTGTGTCTCTCTCTCACTGTCCTTCCCCACTGGCACTCTGTCTCTCTATCTCAAAAATAAAAAAAATAAATAGACACTAAGATATTTTTTTAAGTTTTTGATTTGAGATCTTTGTGCTTTTTTAACATAGGTTTTTACTGCTATAAATTTCCATCTGAGCACTGCTTTCACTGGGTCCCCATACATTGTGTTAGCACGTTGTGTTTTTGTTTTCATTCATCTGTTAGGTGTTATTCTAATTTCTCTGTGATTTCTTCTTTAACCCATTGGTTGTTTAAAATTGTGTTATATAAGTCCACATGTTTATGAATTTTCCATTTTTTTCTTCTTTTATTGATTTCTAACTTTATGTTGTAGTAGTTGGAGAAGATACTTAGATGGCTTTCAGTCTTTTAAAATGTATTGAGATTTATCTTGTGGCCTAACGTGATATATCCTGAAGAATGTTTTATGTGCACTTGAGGAAAATGTGTACTCTGATGTTGTTGAGCAGAGTATTCTATATTTGTTTTACATTTTATTCAAATCCAGTATTTCCTTATTGACCTTCTGTCTAGTTCCATACATTATCAAAAGTGGGACATTGAAGTCCTCAACTATATTGTAGAATTGTCTATTTCTCTTTTCTGTTACATGAGTTTTTGCTTCATATATTTTGTGGCTCTGGTGCAAAGTGCATATATGATTATAATTATTATATCTTCTTCATGGATTGACTCCTTTTCCAGCTTATAATGTCCTGCTTTGTCTCTTGTAAGAGTTTTTGTCCCTAAGTTTATTTCATCTGATGTACTATGTCCACCTTAGTTCTCTCTGGGTTACTGTTTGTATGGAAAATCTTTTTTCTTCTGTTACTTTCAGTCTGTTCACATCTTTGAATCAAAAGTGAATCTTTTGTAGACAATAGTTAGATCATGTTTTTTAGTCTATTCTACCAATCTCTGCATTTTGATTGGAGAATTTACTTCATTTATATTTAAAGCAGTTATTGAAAAGGAATGGCTTATTTCTGCCAGTTTGATATTTGTGTTCTGTTTATCTTCTACCTCTTTTGTTCATCTCCTCCATTACTTGCCTTCCTTTGTGTTTAATTGACACTTTATAGTATACTGTTATGATTCTTTTCTGTGTATATTAAAACAATTTCTTTTACTGGTTACCAGGTAGATTTCAGTTAACATCCTAAATTTGTAACAATCTACTTGACTACAAACTTAGCTTCAGTGCAGATGGCATACAAAGCTTTGCTCTCCTATCGTTCCACTCCCTCATATGTTGTTATCCCAAAGTATATTTTTATATATGCCCATTAACATGGATTTATTATTTTTTTATCCATTTGTCTTTTAAATTATATAGGAAATAAAAAGAGGAGTTACAATTCAAAAATACAATAATAATTTTTATTCTTTCCTATGTAATTATCTTTGCTGAGTTGTGTCTTCATATGACGTTGAGTTACTGTCTAGTGTCCTTTCATTTTAGCTTGAAGGATTCCTTGTTGCATTTCTCTTGCAAAGCAAATCTTCTAGCAATGAACTCCCTCAGTTTTTATTACATTGCTAGGTATAGAGTTCTTGGTAGGTAGTTTGGTTTTCTTTTAGCACTTTAAAAATGTTATTGCCCTCCCTTCTGGCCTCCATGGTTTCTGATGAGAAATCTGTTCTGGAGGGATCATGTAGGTTCCCTATATTTGAGAAGTTGCTTTTCTCTTGTTGCTTTCAAGATTCTCTCCCTGTCTGGCTTTGACAGTTTGATTATGATGTGTCTCAGTGTGGGTCTCGTTGCCTTTATCCTTCTTGGAGCCTGTTGAGCTTTTTTTTTTTTTTTTTTTTTTTTTTTTTTTTTTTTTGAGCTTCTTAAATATGTAGATTTCATGTCTTTTTATCAAGTTCGGGGAGTTTTCAGCCCTTAATATTTGTGTCTGTGGGTTTTTTTTGTGTGTGTTTGTGTTTTTTTCCATTTGTATTGAAGTATAATTGACAAATTGACCATTAATTCTTTATATATTCTTTTGTTCCCTTTCTCTCTTCTCTTTCTAGGACTACCATTATTATGCATACGTTGGTACCCACAGGCTGCTTAGGCTCTGTTCATTTTTCTTTATTCTATTTTTATTCTTCTCAGAGTGAGAAATTTTAGTTGGGCTGTCTTCAGATTTGTTTATACTTGTGCCTGCTCAGACCTGTAATTAAAACCCATCTAGTGAGTTTTTCTTATTTCAGATATTGTACTTTTCAGTTTCAGAATTTCTTTTTGGTACTATTTTATAATTTTATTGATATAGTCTAGGTTTTGAGACATTGTTTTCCTAGTTTCCTTTAGTTCTTTGTCCTTAGTTTTTTGTTTTGTTTTTTAGCTCTTCGAGCATATTTCAGACTGTTGATTTAAAGTCTTTGTCTAGTAATAGCCAAGTCCATGCTTTCTCAGGAACAATTTCTGTTCATTTTTTCCTATGAATGGACCAAACTTTCTAGGGTTTCTTTTTGCCATCGTTTGTAATTTTAAATCTGGACATTTAAAATATTATAACATGGCTCTCTGGAAATCAGATTCTTCCCACTCCTCAGAATTTGTATTTATTGCTTGCTGTAGTCTGTAGCTATTTATTTAGTCATTTCCCTTTTTTTAAAAATATAATTTATTGTCAAGTTAGCTAACATAGTGTATACAGTGTGCTCTTGGTTTTGGGGGTAGATACCCGTGATTCATTGCTTTCTTTAGTCGTTTTCTAAACTATTTTGTAAAGCATATATTTTTTCTCATGTGTGGTTTCTGAAGTATCTGTTTTAGTTTGTGTTCAGCTAGTGTTTGACAGTGATTTCCTTGAATGCCAGGAACCAAAAGAGAGAAAGGAAAAGAGGGAGGGAAAAGAAATGGGGAAAACCACTCAAGACAATGGAAAAAAATCCTTTTGCAGTCTTTGCAGATGGGCTTTGTGCTAGAATATTTCTTCAGTGCTTAGTCAGGCTTCAGCCTTCACTTCCAGCTCTCATGGAGCTTCAAGATCAGCCAGAACCAAAATCTTGGGATCTCCTCAGTCCCTTCTTTTTTTTTTTTTTTTTTCCTTCATCTTTATTTATTTTTGAGAATGAGACAGAGAGAGACTGAGTGTGAGCAGGGAAGAGGCAGACACCGAATCTGAAACAGGCTCCAGCTATCTGAGCTATCAGCACAGAGCCTGATGTGGAGCTTGAACCCACAAACTGTGAGATCATGACCTGAGCGGAAGTCAGACCAACTGAGCCAACCAGGCGCCCCTCCTCAGGCTGTTTATGATTAGGTTTCCTGCATTGGGCATGCATGTGGCTTTCTGAATTCCTCTGTATACATGGGCACCTTTGAATACTCTGGTTTTCCAAAGAATCTTTTCTCTGAGGCTTTCCGTGCTCTGTTGTTTCCTTCAGCCATCATCTTTTCCCCCCACATGGCTGCAGGTTGTCCATCTTGTGTTTCCTAGGAATGCCCACCACCTTTCTGCTCACAGTTAGGCATAACAAAGACAAACCCTTCAGGTAGCCCTTGAACAAGTTAGAACAGAGAGACACAATTCTTTGTGAATAAGGACTGCTATATTCCCTCTGGAGCCAGGGACGAGGGTCCCATACCAAGAACATGGCCTGCCTTCTTCCAGACCTCCATGAGCTAAGAAATGGGTGGGGTGAGAGCAAATAAAAATGCCATAAAGCTTTGTGATTGTTTTTAAGTTCCCTTTCCCTTGATTCTTCATTTGCTTGTGTGCTGGAAACTTTTGACTATTTCTGATAAGTCTGAGGTGTTAACAGTTTCTGCTTGCATTTTCAATGTTTCTGTAGAGGGATGGTCATTTGGAGCTGCCCACTCTGCATTTTTGCTGGCATCGCTCTTCATTTTTGAAGCAATGGTCTTTATCTTGCAGCACTTTGAATATGTCATACCTGCTTTCTGGCCTCATGGTTTCTGATAAGTCAGCCACTATCTTCATTGAGGATCCCTTGTACATAATGAATCATATTTCTATTGGTGCTTTTACAATTCTCTTTTTCTTTGACGTTGGACAGTTTAATATTGATGTGTCCTAGTGTAAAACATTTTGAAATTATCCTGCTTGGAGTTCCTTAATCTTTTAGGCTATGTAGATAATGTTTTCATCACACTTGAGACATTTTTAATTTTTTTAATGTTTATTTTTGAGAGAGAGAGAACGAATGAGCAGGGGAGAGGCAGAGAGAGAGGGAAACACAGATTCTGAAGCAGGCTCCAGGCTCTAAGCTGTCAGCACAGAGCCCAATGCGGGGCTCAAACCCACGAACCACGAGACCATGACCTGAGCCAAAGTTGGGCACCCAACTGATTGAGCCACCCAGCCGCCCTGAGAAGTTTTTAGACATTATTCTCCAAACATTTGTTCTGCCCTTTTCTTCTTTCCTTCTGGAACTCCCATTATGCATATGTTGGTGTATTTGGTGGTATTCCACAGGTGTGAGGATTCTTTAAAATTTTCTTCAATTTTTCTTTCTTTTCCTCAGAAATTAATAATCTCAATTGACCTATCTTCAAATTCACTGAATCTTCTGCCAGCTTACGTCTACTGTTGACCTCCTATAGTCATTTTTTTTTTACTTCAGTTATACTTTCAACTCAGGATTTCTATTTGGTTCTTCTTTATAATTTTTATTTCTTTACTGATATTGTCCATTTGATATAGCATTGTTATCATACTTTAACTTTTCAGGCATTTTTCTTTAGCTCTTCGAACATATTTATGATAGATAATGTAAAATCTTTATCTAGTAAGTTCAATATGTCCTTCCTTATCAAAGGAACAATTTCTTTTTATTTTTAAAAATTTTTTTATTTAAAAAAAATTTTTTAATGTTTTATTTATTTCTGAAAGAGAGAGACAGCGTGAGAGCAGGGGAGGGTCAGAGAGAGAGAGGGAGACACAGAATCTGAAGCAGGCTCCAGGCTCTGAGCTGTCAGCACAGAGCCCGACGCTGGGCTTGAACCCACGAACTGTGAGATCATGACTTGAGCCAAAGTCGGATGCTTAACTGACTGAGCCACCCAGGTGCCCTGGACAATATCTTTTGACTGCCTTTTTTTCCCCCCTGAGTATGGGCCATACATTCCTGTTTCTTTATGTGTGTTATAATTTGGTTTTTTTGAAAACGGATGTTTTAGATAATATAATATGGCAAATCTAGAAATTAGATCCTTCACCCTTTGCTGAGGCATAACTTCAACTCTCAGGTTGTTTACAACTCGGCTTTAAAAAAAAACAAAACAAAATTCGGTTTTAGTCTTCAGCTTGTAAAGGGCCTCAGGTTCAGCCAGAGAAGAAAGACTGGGGCTGTCTCAAGCATTTTCTAGGCATGCCGCACACCCCTTTAAATTCCCGGGAACATGTCAGACCTTCACGAAGCTCCCTCCCCACCTCACCATATCCCCTGCTGCCCATGGACATCTCATTCCCTAAATCTTTAATGATTTCCCCAAGGCGCTCATTTGCCTGAATTGTAGCTGTGATGTTAAATAGTTTCTGCTCATCATTTTTGACAAACACCCTGGAGAATAGGATTTTTCCCTCCAAGAAATCTTTGAGTCAAGTCAGATAACTACAGCACTCTGCAAAGGAGGCTTTGCCAGGGAGCTTAGTAAGACATATCAAATAGTGACCATGCTCTATTTGTTGAGGAGCTCCAGACCTGGTCTGCCCCTGACTACAAGACTGCTGGTTTTCGGTGATATTGCAGAGCTGGGGAAAGGATATTGGCATTGACTAAGTTAAAATGCCACAAATCCTGCTGTTCTTTCAGAGGCTCGTTAGTGTTTTTTTTTGAATGAGTACTCCTCAGATTGTCCCAAGCCTTTTGTTAATTACCAGAGTTTTGAAAGTAATTAATTTTGGTTCTTGCCACTGTTTTTATGACTTTTTAGAGAAGATATACAGAGATCTTCACTCTACCATTCCAGAAGTCCCACACCCAAATGCAACATTTTAAAATATACTCAGAAATTTTGGGGACTTTCCTTTTTTACCATCATCCCTTCCTTGTTCTCTGCAACATACTTTTTTTTTTAATGTTTATTTTTATTTATTTTTGGGACAGAGACAGAGTGTGAGCAGGGGAGGGACAGAGAGAGAGGGAGACACAGAATCTGAAACAGACTTCAGGCTCTGAGTTGTCAGCATAGAGCCCGATGCAGGGTTCAAGCCCATGACCTGCGAGATTATGACCTGAGCCGAAGTCAGACCCTTAATTGGCTGAGCCACCCAGGCAGCCCCTCCAACGTACTCTGAAAGGAAAAAGTTCAAGACCTGAAGTTAGGAGATTTGAGTTTGAGTCTCCACCATACCACCTATACTACTTGCCATCTGACTTCTCTGGATCTATTTCTGCTAATGTTAAAAGCACAATTAATCTGTGCAACACCGGGCTATAGTGAGATTCAAATAGCACACATGTGAAAATTCCTAGCATACCTTTCACAAAATAGGCATTTAAGAAATGTCAGTTCATTCATTCATTCCTCCTTGAATCTTCTGTCACCTGCTTACACATGAGCCTAAAGCTTATGGCTTTTGACACAAAGCCACAGTATTACTTTGGCTGGCACATTGATTCTACTGTGCTGTATGTCATCTGATGTTTAAAAAAAGGAAAGATACTTGGTAAACTTTAGCAGCTGAGAATCAGAATGTGAAATGAAACATAGTTAGAGTTTCTTTGATAGACACTAATACCAAGCAATGTTAAAAGCTATTACAACAAAAAGGAATCATGGTCAGAAATACTTTTTAAATGTTGAACAATGGGCACATGGGTGGCTCAGTCAGTTGAGTGTCCAACTTCTGCTCAGGTCATGATCACCCGGTTTGTGAGTTCGAGCCCCACATTAGGCTTGATGTTGTCAGCACAGAGCCGGCTTCAGATCCTCTGCCCTCCCTCTCTGCCCCTCCCCCACTTGCATGTGCATGCTTGCTCTCTCTCAAAAATAAATAAACAAATAAATAAAATGCTGAACAAAATGTTTACCTATGTTGAGGGAGAGGAGAGAGAATTCCCCAGCAGGTTCCACACTGCCAGTGCACAGCCCCACATGGGGCTCAGTTCCTTGAACCATGAGATTGTGACCTGAGCCAAGATCCAGTGGGGTGCTTAGCCACTTAAACGACTGAGTCACCCAGGCTCCCCTTTAATTCAACATGTAAATAATAATCCCTTTAATAAAGGGATCACAAATGCATTTTGTCTCACATTCTGATGCCATTTGGTAGATCCTACCAGTAGGGATGATTGAGAAGAATTCTAAACCTGTAGGGGGTCGGCTCAGGTGGAAAAGGTTCAGTGACTGATTAGGTTTGGGGGACAGGGTCAAACCACTTTCTGCAGGAGCCATGGGTGCAGTGGTTTCCTATTCTCGCCATACCTGGTTCCTGGGGGCATATCCTTGCTATCCTAGCAGTTAAGTTCCAGTACATGGGGTCTGTGATTATGTGGATTGTTTTTATTGCTGGCATAAAAAGGATGCACATAATTAACTTATAAATGATCAAGTAGTTTCAGAGACAACACCAATCTTATAGTTAAAACTTCAACTTAAATAGGATCCTGTGAAAATTGAATATGTTATCTTTTCGGTTAATGTAAGGCTTACCACAAATTATCTTTCAGTTCTTATTAAAATTTATTTTTTCAAAAATGTACCAGTACCTTTTCCATCCATGTGAGTTAATTCCATGATAAAAGTGTTACAGAATTTCAGGGCTATTATGAAGCTGTTCATTGTATATAAATGCAGATTAAATCTGTATTTGTATTTACATCAAGATACATATTTATTTTTAATCTTTGGAAGTCCATCTGTATTTTCTGTACATGTAATTTATTTGTCCTAAAAGCCAAGTCTAAAATTTTTAAGTTTTGAGATTTGACTCAGCTTCCATTTTTAGTATGTCTGTATTCTGTTCTTTGCATTCTAGGCTTTCCCAAAACAAAAAAGAAAGTTATTCTTATATTTAGCTGTTTTAAATTAAAATACAATACCAGGTGCAATCAAGAACTTTTGGATGTAGTAATGTTCTGTTTAACACCAAACCTGACATGACCAGAGTCTGGTTTTATCCTGCTGGCTGGCTTTAAGAGCCTGTAAAATAGTTTCATGGTTATTGAGAGTTGTAATGTTGGTTGAACTTTCTGACAAATATTTTTATTTTAAAGTTTATTGATTTATTTGAGAGAAACCGAGACAGCACTAGTGGGGGAGGGGCAGAGAGAATCCCAAGCAAGCCCCGCGCTGCCAGCACAGAGCCAGGGCACAGGACTTGAACTCATGAAACCACGAGATCATGACCTGAGCTGAATCCAAGAATTGGCCACTCAAACGACTGAGCGACCCAGGCATGTCACAAATATTTTAATTTTACAATATTTTATTCCTCTGTTAAAAGTCCTGTGCTCTGCCTTCTAACATACATAGAGAATCACCTGTCCTATTAGGAGCATTTAATAGTGATGGTTATAAATTAACTGCTTTAATGGCAATTTTCTTCCTTAATCAGATGTAAGTTAAAGCTGCAGCAGAAAACGATGTCTCTGTGGTCCTGGGTCAATCGGCCCAGTGAACTGAGTAAATTGACCAATCCTCTCTTTGAAGCCAACAATCTGGTCATCTGGCCCTCAGTTGCTCCACAAAGTCTTCAGCTGTGGGAAGGTAAGCTGTGCATCCTTTGTAAACTTTGTATCAGTAGTCAAGGATCCTCTCTGAACATGCTGTTGTTTGTATTTGAAAATGGCAAGTGGTGGATCTGACCCTCAGACCTTTGTGTTATTGCTATTTTCTCTAATGTGGAGCATGGTTCTCTCTTTCATATCCATGATCTGGTCACACTTTTTTTGTTCAGTCTCCATTCAGACATTAACAGTGATAATTCAATGGCTACTGCTATTTATGTTGGACATTTTCCCCAGATAGGAAGATACATTACTGTTTTTAAATGTGATTACCATTTAAATTTACCAACTTAACCATGTGTAGGTATACAATTCAGTTTTGTCAAGTATATTCATACTGTTGTGAAACAGGTCTACAGAACCTTTCATCTTGCAAATCTGAAACTCTCTACTCATTCAACAACTTCTCATTGTTCCGCTCTCCAGCCCCTCCTAAGTACCATTCCACTTTCTGCATTGACTTTGATACCTGCAGGTACCCCGTATAAGTGGGATCATACACTATTTGTCTGTTTGTGATTGATTTCTTTCCCTTAACATCATGTCCTCAGACTCATCCATGCTGTAGCATCTGAGAGGATTTCCTTCCTTTCTCAGGTTGAATAGTTTTCCATTGTATGTGTAGACTACATTTTGCTTGCCCATTCAAACTTTGATGGGTAGCTGGGTTGCTTCCACCTTTTGGCACATAGGTGCACAAATACCTTTTCAAGATCCTGCTTTTGATTCTTTTGGTTATATACCCAGAAGTGGAATTGCTGGGTCATATGAGAATTCTGTGTTTAATTTTTTTGAGGAACCTCTGTACTGTCTTCCATAACAGCTGCACCATTTTACATTCCACCAACAGTGTCTCTACATCCTGGCCACCCCTGCTATATTTTTGGTTTTCCCCCCAATGGTAGTGGCCAGTCTGATGGGTAATGAGGGAAAGCAGATTACTTTTTGTATAAGAGAATTGGTATGTAGCTGGGAAGAGAATGAATTGTAAGCTCCAAAGAGATGGTTTCTGTGTCCTTTATTTTTTTTAATATAGTTTTTTAATGTTTTATTTATTTATGAGAGAGAGAGAGAGAGGCAGCGTGAGCAGGGGAGGGTTAGAGGAAGATAAAGAATCCGAAGCAGGCTCCAGGCTCTGAGCTAGTTGACAGCACAGAGCCTGACACGGGGCTCGAACCCATGAACCATGAAATCATGACCTAAGCCGAAGTCGGATGCTCAACTGACTGAGCCACCCAGGCGCCCCTCTGTGTCCTTTATTAAGGAGCCATTAGGATAGACTCTTCTGTTGAAGGGCTAATTAGCTACTCTTTCTATCTAGTAAGGTTCTATAAAGTACCAAAGCTTGTTCTTAAAACTATAACCAAAATCTACGTAGATTATATTAGCCATCCATTAAACAAAGACTATAAAATACCATTTCTTTGTAAAAATCTTGAAGGTAGTAAGTACATCTTTATTCATCTTCGTATTAAACAGCCCAAAGCCTACCACACAGGAATGGTAGCTGTTTGGTAATTGAACTGAATTACCATACATATCAGTTACGTATTATACCACGTTTTCATAGGTTATGCCCACAAGGGCAATCCATGCATGGGAAACTGTTTGCCCTTTGTGTGCAAAAGGGCCTCAGATTATTTTGCTCTCTCAGTTTGGGACTGAGTCTATTTCTGTCACACCTCTGAATGTCAGGTCTCACGTCTTATTCTTCTTGGCATATCTGTCATTAGCTGCTTCCTTCCTCCTCAGTTTATGCTTCTAATCTTATCTGTTGAGGTATCCCTAAGTTAGAATTGTGGGGAAAGTTGCCTCAGATAGTCTGCATATTCTCTGAGTCTGAGCTTTGGTGCTTTGGGAAATTTTGGCTGCTCAAAACTTCTCTTTGCTTACTTTCTTGATTGTTTTAGATAGTCACAGGTGCCGGATAAGTGATCTCTTTGTTAAAGATTTCTGGGACAGTTTACCTAGAAGCCACTGTCATGTTTAATGATTGAAGTGAGAGACAAGCTACTTGGGAGAAAAGCCACATTTGGAATTGGATGCCCTGAAGGACAGTTTAACTAGTTTTTACAAAACCTCATTGAAAGTTTGGAAATTAAGAGACTGGAGGAAATCTTTGTTGTTATGTGAATGAATTCCTGCCACTCCATTAAGAATAGAGTTTCCATATGTGTTTAGTGCCTCAGCTTAGAACTGGAAGAAATTCTGTGTTAGGGAAAATCTTCCCACATTAGGTATATGAATTGTATAATGAGACTACTCTTTGACCTTAAAATGTCTCTGTCCTGTTTATATTTACATCATTGTTAATCATTAATTTAAAGTAATTCCTGGGTTGAAGAACAGGATTTTAAATACAGACTCATGTAACAAAAAAAAATCAACAAAGGTCAGTTTTGTCTTTAAGGTATGTTTCTGTTTTCCCTTTCTGATAGAGAATAGCATTTGGACATGTAGGATTTAAGGCCCTGGGAGTTTGGTTTCTAGAAAGTGTTTTAAATAATCATAAAACCTTTGTGAACTTACCGGCTACTGACATGTTGCTGCCTGGAGAGTTTCTGTATGTCCTTATTTGACTATCTTTAAACCATTATGTTGGGATGATACAGTTAATGTAGATCTATGCAGAGGAGAAAATGTCTCCTTTTAGTCTATAATGTGAGGATAATTATTAATGGGGGAAAGAAGACTTGCCTGTAGAATTGGAAGATCACCTCTTAAATAAAGAGACCGGGAGGGAGAGCATTATTTTTTCTATTCTTTAATTGAAGTGTAGTTGACATATATTAATTTCAGGTATACAACACAGTGATTCAACATTATATACATTACAAAGTGATAACTACGATAAGTCTAGTTACAACCTGTCATCAGACAAAGTTGTTACACTATTATTAACTACGTTCCCTATGCTATACATTGCAACCCTGTTTTATATATACCTAGAAGTTTGTGCCTTTTAATCCCCTTCTCCCAGCACAAAAACAGACATTCAGATCAGTGGAACAGAATAGAGAACCCAGAAATGGACCCACAAACATGTGGCTAACTAATCTTTGACAAAGCAGGAAAGAATATCCAGTGGAATAAAGCCAGTCTCTTCAGCAAGTGGTGCTGGGAAAACTGGACAGCGACATGCAGAGAAGTGAACTTGGACCACTTTCTTACACCATACATAAAAAATAAACCCAAAATGGATGAAAGACCTAAATATAAGACAAGAAGCCATCAAAATCCTCGAGGAAAAAACAGACAAAGACCTCTTTGACCTTGGCCACAGCAACTTCTTAACACATCTCCGGAGGCAAGGGAAACAAAAGCAAAAATGAATTATTGGAACCTCATCAAAATAAAAAGCTTCTCACAACAAAGGAAACAATCAGCAAAACTAAAAGGCAACCAACAGGATGTGAGAAGATATTTGCAAATGACATATCAGATAGTTAGTATCCAAAATCTATAAAGAACTTAACAAATTCAACACCTATAAAACAAATAATCCAGTGAAGAAATGGGCAAAAGACATTGAATAGACACTTCTCCAAAGAAGACATCTAGATGGGCACCCAACACATTAAAAAAATGCTCAGTATCACTCATCATCAGGGAAATACAAGTCAAAACCACAATGAGAGACCACCTCACACCTGTCAGAATGGCCAACATTAACAACTTGGGCAACAATGGATGTTGGTGAGGATGCAGAGAAAGAGGATCTCTTTTGCACTGCTGGTGGGAATGCAAACTGGTGCAGCCACTGTGGAAAACAGTATGGAGGTTCCTCAAAAAAATTAAAAATAGAACTACCATACAACCTAGCAATTGCACTACTAGGTATTTATCCAAGGGATGCAGGTGGGCTGTTTCGAAGGGGGACATGTACCCCAATGTTTATAGCAGCATTATCAATAATAGCCAAAGTATGGAAAGAGCCCAAATGTCCATTGATGGATGAATGGATAAAGAAGGTGTGGTGTACACAATGGAGTATTACTCAGCAACTCAGCAATCAAAAAGAATGAAATCCTACCATTTGCAACTACGTGGATGGAACTAGAGTATTATGCTAAGCGAAATTAGGCAGAGAAAGACAAATATCATATGACTACACTCATATGAGGACTTTAAGACACAAAATAGATGAACATAAGGGAAGGGAAGCAAAAATAATATAAAAACAGGGAGGGGGACAAAACATAAGAGACTCTTAAATATGGAGAACAAACAGAGCATTGCTGGAACGGTTGTGGGAGGGGGGATGGGCTAAATAGGTAAGGGGCATTAAGGAATCTACTCCTGAAATCATTGTTGCACTACATGCTAACTCACTTGGATGTAAATTAAAAAAGTAAATTTGAAAAAATCCCCTTCCCCCATTTTGTCCATCACCTACTGTCCACCTCCCACCCCTTTGGCAACCATCAGATTGTTCTCAGTATCTGTGAGTCTGTTTCTGTTTTGTTACAAATGTTTTGTTTCTGTTTTTTTTTAGATTCCACATATAAGTAAATGCTATGGTTTTTATCATTCTCCACTTGACTTATTTCACCTGGCGTAATACCCCCCAGGTCCATCTATGTTGTTGCAAATAGCAAGAGGTCATCCTTTTTATGGCTGGGTAGTATTCCATTGTGTATATATACCACATCTTCTCTATCTGTTCACTATCAATGGACACTTAGGTTGCTTCCATATCTTGGCTATTGTAAATAATGCTTCAGTGACCATAAATGGTGCGTATATCTGTTAGAATTTATGTGTGCATTTTCTTTGGGTAAATAACCAGAGGTAGAAATGCTAGATCATATGGTAGTTCTGTTTTTAGTTTTTGGAGGAACCTCCATACTGTTTTCCTTAATGGCTACACAATTTTGCATTTTTATTTACAGTGCACAAGGGTTCCTTTTTTGTTTGCATCCTTGCCAACAGTTGTTATTTCTTGTCTTTTTGATAATAGCCATGCTGACAAGTGTGAGCTGATATCTGATTGTGGTTCTGATTTGCATTTCACCCTGATAATTAGTGATGTTGAGCATTTTCTAATCTGTCTCTTGGCCCATCTGTATGTCTTCTTTGGAGAAATGTCTATTCAAGTTGTCTGCCAGTTTTTTAATTGGATTGCTTTTTTCCGATACTGAATTATGTGATTCCACTATATTTTTTGGATGTTAACCCCTTATCAGTTATATCATTTGCAAATATCTTCTCCCATTCAGTAGTTTGCATTTTGTTGATGTTTCCCTTCATTGTGCAAAAGCTTTTTAGTCTAATATAGTCCTCTTTGTTCATTTTTGCTTTGTTAGCCTTTGCCTGAGGAGACATGCCCAAAAAATCATTGCTGAAACTGATGTCAAAGAGCATACTGCCTGTGCTTTCTTCCAGTTTTATGGTTTCTTTTCTTACATTTAAATCTTTAATCTATTTTAAGTTTATTTTTGTATATGTTGTAAGAAAGTGGTCCAGTTGTTTTGAATGTATTGTCCAGTTTTCCCAGCATCATTTATGGAAGAGACTGCCTTTTCCCCATTGTATATTCTTGCCCTCTTTGTTGAAGATTAATTGACCATCTAGTGTGAGTTTATTTCTGGACTCTATTCTGATCTACATAGATCTGTGTATCCATTTTTGCATTGTTAGCATACTGTTCTGATTACCATAGCTTTGTATAGTATAAGTTGAAATCAGGGAGGGTGATACCTCCAGCTTTGTTCTTTTCTCAAGATTGCTTTGGCTATTTGGAGTCTTTTGTGGTTCTATAAAATTTTATGATTGTTTCATTTCTGTGAAAAATGTCTTTTGATAGAGATTATATTGAATCTGTAGATTGCATTGGGTAGGATGGACATTTTAACAGTATTCTTCAATCCATGAACATGGTATATCTTATATCTTTTCTATTTATTTGTGTTTTCTTCATTTTATTTCATCAATTTCTTTGAGTTTTCAGAGTACAGGTCCTTTACCTCCTCAATGAAAGGCCTTCCTCCTATCCCTAGGTTGTTTTTTTAAATGCATCTATAAATAGAATTGTTTTCTTAATTTCTGGTAGTTCATTCTTAGTATATAAAAATACAGATTTATGTGTATTCACTTTATATCCTTTAACTTTACTGAATTTATTAGTTTTAATAGTTTTTTGGTGGAGTCTTTAGGGTTTTGTATATAGTATCATGTCATCTGCAAATAGTGACAGTTTTACTACTTCTTTTCCTACTGGAAGCCTTTTCTTTCTTTTTCTTGTCTGATTTCTCTGGCTAGGATCTCCAATATTGTGTTGAAGTGGTAAGACTAGGCCTCCTTGTCTGTGATCTAGAGGAAAAGCTTTGCTTTCAGTGTTTCCCTGTTTTATATGATGTTGCCTGTTGATTTGTCATTTTTGGCCTCTATATCTGTTTTGTTGTGAGTTTTCGTAAGTAGATGTTGAATTTAATAAAATGCTTTGTCTGCATCTGTTGAGATGATCATTATTTTTATTCTTTTTGTTAATGTGCCACATTGTGTTGATTGATTTGTGGATATTGTACTACCCTAGTGTCCCTGGAATAAATCCCACTTGATTGTGGCATAGGATGCTTTTAGTGTATTGTTGAACTCAGTTTGCAAAAATTTCATTCAGGATTTTTGCATCTATGTTCATCAGGGTTATTGATCTATAATTTTCTTTTTTTGTATTGTGTTTGTTTGAATTTGGAATCAAGGGTAATGCTGTCCTCATAGAATGAGTTTGGAAGCATTCCTTCCTCTTCAATTTTTTAGAATGGTTTGAGAAAAATAAGTATTAACACTTCTTTAAATGTTTGGTAGAATCCACCCACCTGTTAAGCCATCTGATCCTGAGCTTTTATTTGTTATGAAGTTTAGGTTTTTAAATAACAGTGTGTATAATTCTGCTGTTAGTATAACTGTCATTTTTCCAGTGAAAGTGATTTTAGACATGGATGAGGTCCTACAGGTCTGAGTAAAGTTCTATAATTTAACAAAAAATTTTATGTTGTAAAACTGGGAAGTTTATGGCATTGTAAATTATCAGGTTTTTTCCCTAAATATATCAGAAAATAATATTGTAATCCACTTTATAATTTTATGGGTGGGGTGGTTGAAGAATGAATGATTATGTACATAGAAATAGTGACATTTTAAATAGCGTGTTTAATTACACTCTCTCAGTACTTTAATATTCCTGCTTATTTCAAAGTATAATAAAACAGATGTGAACTGTAAAAAAAAAAAAAAGAAGAAGAAGAAAAGGAAAGAGAAAAGAATGTATAATGCATGGAATAATGTCAGTGTTAACTCACTGTATGTATCTTTTTCCCTTCTGTGTTCCTTTCCTGAATTCAACAGGTATTTTCCTACGTTGGAACAGATCCTCCAAGTATTTGGATGAAGCATATGAAGAAATGGTTAACATCATTGAATATAACAAGGAATTACAAGCAAAAGTAAATATCCTTAGGAGGCAGTTGGCAGAACTGGAAACTGAGGATGAGATGCAGGAGAGTCCATGAAAGATCTCCCCACAGCCAATGAAAGGACCTTCCTGGACCTGTATCCACCTCTCTTTCCTTCGGCCCTTCAGTTCACTTTTACACAGTAGCCTTGAACTTAAGGCTTTAGATGTGAGAACCCTCTAATGTAGTGGATTTCTCAATACTTTATGAATGAAACATACTGTAATTACTCATGTTTCACGTGGCCTGTTAGGCTTCTTTACTTTGGGAGCAGAAAGGAGGTGCTAGTCATTTATTTTATGTGAAACAGGTGACCTATTTAATGCCATTTGTGTTATATGCCATTTAATCATAAAATTCTTCCTGTGTCTACTTTCCAGACAGTGCTCCAGACCAGTCAAGGATATGATTAATCTCTTTAGGAAATATTTGTTCATTTTTTAAAAGATTAGACTTTTAAACACTCCAAATGTAGAAATATTTTTCAAAACTGAAATGGTTGAAAAACCACAAATTTTGTGATTAACATGCCGTTTCCAGTACCTTTGCCCTTCTCTTGAAAATAGCTTTGGATTAAGAAAGCTGAATTCATTCTCATTCTGGTTTACCAAGAAAGGAAAATCTGAATATTTATTCAAGGTAAATTATTTTTACAAGGAGTGTAGGTTTAATCCTGTGATATTTACATTAAGAAGTAAATTTTAACAGTAGTCCTTAAAGTTTATGTGCAATATAGAAACAAGGTAGGAATTTGTTACTGATATGGTATAGTTACTGTTGAATTGGTTTTTCAGGTTTTTGAGCATACATAATAAAGTGCATATCAAATGCTGGATATCATATTAAACTGTCGTTTAGGGTAGATGTTAATTTGTTATAATTAAGCTACAAATATGGTTTCCTTAAACCAGAGATGCACTGCCCTTGTCTGAAGTTCTTATTGCACTGGTTTATGTATGTATGTGTGTTCAGTTTATTGTGTTTTATTTTTAAGTGTTCTGAGAGTTCACTAATAACTAAGCTTAAAACTTTCATGTTGGCTTGAGCCTTTTGAACATTTATCTGGACTCTGCTGATTTGTCCATTATTGTTGGGCAAATATAATTGAAATGGCGGTGAGTTTATGAACATGACAAAGCTATGTTTTAAACTTCAGAAACAGATTGAAATGTTTTAATGTTATGACTGTATTTATGCTATGCTAGTTTATGCCTGCTACTCTAAAAGTCTGTGGGTTCAGTGCTTTCTATATACATTCTGTTTTGTGACACTGTTCATTTTAACAAATATTATGAATTTTAGTTTTCTATTAAAAGGATAGCTGAAGAATAATGTTTAATACTATTTTCACCCCATCTGTATATAACCATTTCAGTGTAAAGCACACCAAAACTGAACCCTGCTTTAGAGCTGTGTATTGAGCTAAAAAGATAATTTTAAAAAATTGACTCTAGCATCAACTATGACCACATTCAGAAGCCTTAGAAAGTAGCAAATACTTTTTATCTCCAGTTGCCCAAGCTTCCTTTTTTTTTTTTTTTCTTCCCTTCAGACTAGTAGCAAAAGGCTTGGAAAACAATGGGTATCAGAACTCTCTTTTAGTATATTTGCCTGTCTTCTCCTCCAAGCCCAGATTTATTCTCTACTTATTTTCTTGGCTATAGTGATGAGTCTCCAGGCGTGGAAGCCCTCACAGAAAGGCTAAGGCAAGGAGCAAAGGAAATTGTGCTGTTAGTATCTCTGTGTTGTACCAAATGTTTATATTAATATTTTAAAAAAGGAAACATCCTAGCTTTTTTATCACCCCTCAAAATTGCTCTCTGCATTTGTTCATGTAGCTGACCTTTTTGTTTTCTCCTATTTTGGTGTCAAGAGTAGATATGAAGGAGCCTTTTTCTTCTCAGCTAACAGACCCATAAGGAAAAACATTTAGAGAATTTTCTTTTTTAAGTGATTCTTTAGAAGTGACTGCCACTGTTGATATTGATTGGCCGTAGGGCTTCTGTGGGTGGGAGTTTTTATTAGGCTTGGTCATGGAGAAATTGTATGCCATTATTTATACCTGTCTTCTTGGTGAATGTTTTATGTGTGAGCCAGAGTCCAATAATAGCATAGTGTTTCTATTTCTTTTTGTTTTTCTTACTAAAACAGCAATCTTAAGCTGTTTGGACAAGTTTGCATTTTAGTTAATTTATAATGAAGGGTTGTAAACCTCAGTTCCATTTATAGGTCATAAAAACAAACTTTGGTATCCATTTTCAAAGTGAACATCTAATAATGCAAATGTTAGGGTTTTCCGAAACTCAAGAACCGTGTCAAAAGTACATTATCAATATAATTTAAAGAGAGGTGGGCGCCTGGGTGGCTTAGTCGGTTAAGCGTCCGACTTTCGCTTAGGTCATGATCTCGCGGTTCGTGGGTTCGAGCCCCGCGTCGGGCTCTGTGCTGACAGCAAGCTCAGAACCTGGAGCCTGTTTCGGTCTGTGACTCCCTCTCTCTCTTAACCCTCCCCTGCTCACGCTGTCTCTCTCTCTCTCTCCTAAAAATAAATAAAACATTTAAAAAAATAAATAGATAAAATAAAGAGAGGTTTTAGTAATACTATGAAGTTACTCATCCCTTGGATGAGAAGAATATATATGGTGAATATACTCATGTCAAAATACTTGCTAAACCTTAAGTTTAACAAGTTTTGGAGTTTGGAGAATCATCTTTGATAAACGTGCTTTAAAAACTTTAATGAAGGGGTGCCTGTGTGGCTCAGTAGATTAAGTGTCCCACTTTGGCTCAGGTCATGACCTGGTCATGATTCACCAATTTGAGCCCTGCGTCAGGCTCTGTGCTGACAGCTCAGAGCCTGGAGCCTGCTTCAGATTCTGTCTCCCTCTCTCTCTGCCTCTCCCCTGCTTGCACTCGCACTCTCTCTCTCTCTCTCCTCTCTCTGTTCCTCACCCTCTGTCAGATAAAAACATTAAAAAAAAAAAAAATCTTTAATAAAGAGAGTGGTGGCAGAATTAAAAAACAAATTGCCCCACAGGAGCCAGTAATAATCAAGTGAGATATAATCAAGTTTATGTATACTAAACATCTTATGCATTCATTTATAGTAAAGCCTGGCTTATGTTTTTGGGATGCGAATAAAGGTCCTACAAAGAATATTTTAAAAATACAAAAGATTGCTACAGTCATCTATCAGCAATACAAGGATCCTCAGATTTTAAATTAACAATTTTTGTAGAAATCAGAAGAACATAGTGGGTTGATTATATTAAGATTTTGAAACTTTTTGGGTGGTAAGACTTTCAGTAATTAATCAGAATTTTTAATTCTGGTTTTATTAAGTGGGAACAAAAACAGAAATTATAAAATTTAGCAGGATTAAAACAACCTATAAATAGATTTTACTTCTAAGAAAAATTAGGCCTTTAAGCAAGATTTCAAAGTGATTTTTGAAGACAGACTGGGATCATTTCAGATCGTATATGGGTTTATTAAAAGCTTTTCTTTGAACTGTGAATCATGATTTACAGAGGTAATATGTCATTGCTTTTGTTTTAAAGGATGAAGTTTAGTGATATTTTAGTCTTTGATTCACTCAGTATTTATGTTAAATAAAAAAATCAAGGGGCGCCTGGGTGGCTCAGTCAGTTAAGCAGCCGACTTTGGCTCAGGTCATGATCTCATAGCTCGTGAGTTCGAGCCCCGTGTCGGGCTCTGTGGTCAGCACAGAGCCTGGAGCCTGCTTCAGATCCTGTGTCTCCCTCTCTCTCTCTGCCCCTCCCCTGCTCATGCTCTGTCTGTCTCTCAAAAATAAATAAATGTTTAAAAAAAATCAATACCATGGAAAAGATCTGATCAGTAGTTGTCTCTTGACGCGAAAAATAGAAGGAATATTTTGCTGTATTTTAAAAAATCTGTAACAAAAGATGTGACTCTTGGGGCACCTGGGTGGCTCAGTCCGACTTCAGCTCAGGTCATGATCTCACAGTTCATGAGTTTGAGCCCCGCGTCTGACTCTGTGCTGACAGTTTGGAACCTGGAGCCTCCTTCACATTCTGTGTCTCCACTCTCTCTGCCCCTTCCCTGCTCATGCTCTGTCTCTCTCTTTCTCAAAAATAATAAAGATTAAAAAAAAAAAAAGATGTAACTCTTGTAGTTAATCTGGTTTGGGGATTAGCTATTTTAATTGTCAGTCTTAACCAGGTTTTCAAATTACTTATTACCAGATCCCAACCTGAGGCAGAATTTTGGTATTTACCCATATCCAGATTTAATATGTGAAAACTAAGAGGGTATTGTGAGCACCCCTCTCAGAAAGTTATTTCCTGGACAAAAAAAAATTGGGCAGATTTTAGAATAGTTGATCCCCTGTTCTGGCAGCTTTGTAATTTACCAGAGGATGAACTCATTCAGTACATCTGATACAGGTTTATGCTATACCTCAAGACAATATAGATTATTTATTATTCTTTAATGTGGGTTAGATCTTTTCCCCTCTCCAGAGCTGATGTGCTAACTTATTACCAGATAGTATTTTTATGTAATTCACCATCTTAAAAAACATTTAAAGGCTGATTTCTCCATTAATATTTATTCTCAGATGACACAAAATGCTAATTTTCTTACAGGATCAGTTTTCTGATTTTTTTTCTTGAATAAAATTACCATTACTCAGTCTTTATAATCTAGTGCCCACAGCATCTTCTTCTTTGAAACCAATGGCTGGGAGAAGCGACCCTATGAAACTCTAGGACAAGGTTTTAGAAAGTTTGAACTTCTTAACTAAATTCCCCTTTAAGAAAGTCCCAGTTTTGAACTACATTGTAGAACTAGTTTGTGCTTAATTTAGTGAAAGATAGTGGGGCTCACTGTAGACACTACATTGTCCTGAAAAATAATTCCCGGAGCTTACCGACTTTTAGAACCGTTTTATTTAACCATGTATGAGTATACAGACTAACTGTGTTGGTAATTTGTAATAAAAGCAAGTTGTGTAACACTGCCTTTGTCTTTCTGCACAAGACATTTACCATTTGTTTCACTTTTAAAATGCATATATCTTTGGAGATGTGAATTATTCTACACAAATACACCCTGAGTTCTGTTGATTAGAATCCTATAGAACTATCACCATCTATACTAAAAATGTTGTACTTGCACAATTTAGTTACATAAAAGAGAATATGTATTTCACCAGTAGCCAGGTATTTGGATTATATTCTTGATATATTTGAATGTGACTCTTGGATTTAAGTGCACTATTACTCATGTCTTACACAACAAAATTGCACTGTATGGCAAATATGTCTATAATGTATGCTTTGCTAAAACCTCCAAGTGCTGTAATGTACAGGTTTCTATTATGTGAACCATGTCTATATATAGTCTTGGGGGAAAATTCTAAACTTTTTAAAGTCTCTGTAACATTTTAATATTATTTGTAATGTCCCCTGTGTAATAAGTTCACGTATGTCCTAAAACTGGAATCATTCATCATGAGTTGGCCGCTTTGTCAAGCTTGGTTTACTTAATCATGAAACAGTCTTGTTGAACATGGTACATTTATCTTAGTATGTAAGATTTGTGTGGTGTGCTCTGCCTCAGAGGACTATTGCACAGATGCTAGTTTAAATATCTTGAGACAGTGGTAATAAAATTTGAATATACTCAAATGCTGGTAAATTAAATCTATAGGCTGCCTCAGAGGACTGTTGCACAGATGCTAGTTTAAATGTCTTTAGACAATGGTAATAAAATTTGAATCTACTCAAATGCTGGTAAATCAATCTATAGGCTGACTAAGTTTTTTCCAAATATTTGTGAAGGTTTTGGCAGTGTCTCAATTAAAACTGCTATGCCTAGGCCTTACATTTTGAAAAAATTTAGATCCACGAAAATAGTTGCAAAACAGTACAGTGATCTCCCAAATATTGTTCACCTAGATTGAATAATTAACATTTTTCTTATTTAACTTGGCACTTCGTATTGTGTGAGTGTGTGTGTTCTTACTATTATTTTGCTGAAACATTTCACGGTAAGCTACAGACATCATGACCTTTCTACGTAAATATTTCAGAGGTATCTGTCAAAATTTAGGAGTGTATATTATATATTCTGTTTACCCAGTTTGTATTGATATGAATAAATCAGTGAAGAAAAAGGAAAAGCTCTCTGTTAGAATGGATTGCCAACTATGAGACGGGGGAAGAATGACAAAATTAAAAAGTCACTTTGGTATTCATCACAGTAATAATTGATTTAGGTAGTCATCATCTGTGGGTGCTAAAACTGGCAGGTGAATTTGTGAGGAAAAGCATATAGTCTCAAAGTGTCTTTCCATAAAATACTAGTTAGAAAGAGGGGAACTAGTGTGTGGAGAACCTGAAATCCCTGTGGACTCTTTGCTGGGAATGTCAAATGCTACGGCCACTATGGAAAACAGTATTAGCAGTTCCTCAAAAAATTAAAAATAGAATTACCATATACAGCAGTCCCACTTCTGGGTATATATCCAAAAGAATCTAAAATAAGAGATATTT